CCTTCGCCAATTGGCTTATCCAACGCGCTTGTCCTTCAAAGTACCGTTCAATGACTTCATAGGGAACAGCAGCCAGATCTGCCATAGTCTAAAAAAAATTTACAACAGTAACTTTGTTCAGTGAAGCCATAACACCAACCCCAACGGCTAACCGCTCCTGAATAGCGTGGCCAAGCTTTCCTCCTAACATTCGTACGTCCCCGATAGGCACCTCTTCAAAGAGAGTTGGCACAAAGTCAAATGGGATTAACGTTTGTTGACGAGGTTTATGACGAGAACATACTAGTTTGGCTAGCATCTAAAAATGCACTTTAAAAAGATTTTTAAAAAGTTTATTACAACTTATTTCTATGAGATAGCGCTTCTAAAAATGATAACTGCCGCCGCATGATTCTAAGGAGCTTCGAACGAAAAATCGGAATGAACATCGTAGCAGTTTTCGCTTAGCAGAGAAAGAAGACTTACATTCTGTTATGAAAAGAAAACTACAAAGAGCCATTTATCTTAGCTAGTTTCACTCCACAATTTTATTCGCTGTGTTTAAGCTAACGATAAGAAATTAACTATGGAGATTTGCCATAAAATAACTAATCGAAGAGCTGATAACAAAAAAAGAAACGGAAAAAAGGGCAAATAAAAGCGTCTCACCTTATTGTTCGCAATACCACCAGAACAAAAGAACTGAGTGGATTCTCGTATTCTCGCACGAATTTGCTCCACCGTTTCTGCCGCTATAGCGAGACGCAACTAAATTGCGAAACTCAATATAGGAGTAGTGTAAAACTTCAAACACTAGACCTAAGAAGCAAGTGAATAAAAGCTAGACAAACATGACTGAGTTCCCTTGCGCACCGAATGTCCAACCAGCTTTTTAAGTTTGCTTCACGAGTATAAACACCTTCTCCTCCTTTGTCGTTCCCGTCTGCCAAATGGCTAGTGGGGAGAGTCGTAGAGAGATTGCTGGAGATCTAAGATTATTAAGTGATATACTGATCGCAGAAATCAATAGTGAGCTTGCAACCATAAAAGGTGAAAAGAGATAAAGATAAACGTTCTTTCGAAAAGAAACAGATTTGTAAACGAATCATAAAGATTACATGCTGCAAAAGCTCTGCAGCTCCCTCCTCTAAAATTTTCTTGTCCACGAGCTCAGTGAGGTCCAGGAATGCTTCATCGACTGAGGCACGTTCCACAACTATTCGCTCATCAAAATTATTCAAGACATCAAAAATT